TACTTTCCAACTTACGGGCCCATTCTCCGGTAAAATAGACCCTAAACATAGCGTTGCCATAACAACGTTTTTTTCTTGGCACTAAAAATAGCCAAAATTCTATATATTTGCTGTGCAGTCAGAAGTACTAGATATAAAGCCTGACCTAGGAAAGACACAAACGTGAAAAAAGAATCTTATCATAAGTGCATCTTTTTGATGTGACATAATAACACCCGCGTGACCTTAGGTTTCATGTTTAAAACGCCTGATTGAACAGTAAAGGGGGCGTCCGTTAATCACGTGATCGAGTTTTTAGGGATTTTTAGACCCCTCTTCCTCCTCGGTGATATGTAGTGATATTTAAAATTACCCCCCTCCCCGACCGAACATCACAAGTATTTCTAATTAAGAAAATTTTGCGAAAAAATCGTAAAATTTGATTTTGTTTTAATGCTTGGATTTTTTACAAAAGTTCAGGTAAAAAATAAATACACGTGATATTTTACTAGACCGCCCCCGCGTGATATTTTATGATTTTTTGATAAAAGTCCCCCCTCCCCCTAAAAGCCTCACGTGATTGGAATGGACGCCCCCAAACTATTTTGGCAGTTTTTAGTACCAGGAACAATGCGTAACATAGCTTTGCTTTCTTCCACCACTCTTCTTTTTTATGTGAAGATTATACATAACATATGTATGTCTAATACTGTAGGCGTATGTATGTTACAGCAATGCTTACTAAAGACTTGGAATAATATTTGAAATTGGTATCATACTGCTTGATATCGAGCTGGACGAGGTTAGTATCAAATCATAAAACATGTGGTGTCATTTCGGTAAAGCTTTTGCCTTAGACAGGTCGCAGCAAACAACAATTTCAGTATTGACGCATTGCAATGCGCCGTAAATCCTGAAAAGCTCGCTAAGGCAAGATTATCGCATTTATAAATAAAATCTGATGTGCTTTTCTGTGCCTTGCTGTTGCTTTTGCTGTTGCTGTTGCCTGTGACCCGGTCATTGCGTGAGCAAACACATGCTGTTCCCTCCCCGATCTACGGACGCCCATTATTGTTTATTGTTTATTGTTTATATTTCTACATATTATACGCTTGATTTGACATACATTGGCTTTAACATTATCATTAACCTTTGGTTCGAAACGGGGAATATTTTCTCATGTATCTTCATTGCTGATTCGGGGTCGCAAAAACGCTGTTACCGTAGTAAAAAAATCACGCAACTTGATAAGCGGTAAATTACTTGTTTACGTAACTCACGTGTCACATATATAATTTTTAACGGATTTACTTCAAATTTATTATCTATTATTTTGTAATTTATCACTTTTTATTAATATAATTTTAAATTTCTTGGTGATCGTGCCTTTCAAATTGCCATTTTAATTATGCTCTAGGATAAAGTGAGAAAAAATCAATTCAATGGTGTTAGGGTTAAGCTCTATTTGCGATAGATATATACTGAAAAAAAACACTAGTGTTGCATAACATCGTTCATTATGGCAAATTGCTGAAACTTCCCGTATCGTAAAATTAGAACTTTTAAAAGCTTTAATTTATTTTTAAAAATTTTGAAAAAAATAGATTTTTGAAAATTTGATTTTTTTTAAAGAAATAGATTTTTTTGAAAAATTTTAATTTATTTTCAACTTTCCATAGAGTAAGTTATAGTAATCACAAAAAAATGGAAAATGAATTTTTTGCATAATTTTACATTTAATAAATTTCTGAACTGGATGTATGTGCGTGTGTGTATCTATTTGTATGTATGTGCGTATGTGTACGATTTCGAAAATATGGATCAACCGATTTCATTCAGAAGATTGACAATGATTTGAAAAGCATTCAATTCCTATTGACGTAAAAACGTGCTGATTAGTTTTTAGCTAAGGCAGGTCCAGCTGTTCGGAAGATACTGGCCAAGAAGTGCCATAAATGGTAATTCAGCTTGCGAGAGAACGGAGCATCCGATTTGAATGATTCAAAAAACATTTTACTTGTATTGGCAAACTGAATAGCTGGGAAGTCAGGTCCAGCGGTGATTAAATGAAAAAAGAAAAAAAAATACAATTTGGCAGTCAAAAATGACCATTCAGCATAGGCTCATCATATTATGAGATATTTTATAGAGATTTTAATGACAAGTACAATTTTTTTTACACTTTCATGAATTACGTACTCATGTTTAATCGTTCGAGTCTGAGACGCGGCGCTTACGCGCTTCTATATTTTATCTCCGAAAAACAGCTACGCAGCGCAATTGCTCAATTCTCAATTTATATTCCACTGAAGATGACAGATAATTTGATAAATTTCTACAGATTCTTTTATTTAACTATTTTGATGGGCAGATTCTGCCGCACAATAGGCCAATGTTATAGCAAGGCCATATTACGCTTCAACTTGCATACATTTTGCTACTGAATCATACTAAACACTGTCAAAATATCATGCATTTGCTGTGCATTCAGGCGTTTTACACATAAACTGCAACGTCACTCGTATGTTATGAAGCTGGGTCAGAAAGACCCTGTTATCTAAGATCGTTTTTTTATATTTGTGCAGTTTCTAGATTACGTTTTCTATTTTACGACATGAAAAAAACGATTAACTTCATAACAACCACAAGGTTTTTGTCAATATTTAATATGGAAATCTTCATAACATAGTCTTGCCATAACATTGGTCTGTTATGCGGCAGAATGGGTCACTCATGGAATCTTATAAATAAATTTATTAGCTTTTATCAGTGATCAAAATGTAAATATATAATATACATCGATTTGGAATATTAGACTCTACAAGTGCTTGTTTTACAACTCTGAAACAAATAAGATTCATATTCTTATATGAGATGAGTGAATAATTTTAATACTGTGTCGAAGTGCATCTGTATGGCAATCAATTTAAAGTATTGAAACGTTTCAATAAATTACAAAAACAATAAATCAAATCCATATTTACATAAAATTATCAGATTATCCCATCCGTTATACACTTGGACAAAAATTTTACGCACGGATGTTCGTGATGTAGAAATTGCTGTATCTATTATTATTATTAATCAATCTTCTTCTTCTTCAAGAGGCGTTCATTAACAGTGAAATGTAATTGACGTATTATTAAACTAATATATCTTGTGCGTGATTTTTTCGATTTGTCGCGTGCTTTACGATAATTTCCTTTGAGTAATTTACGATTGCCCTTTGAGTGAGACATGCACAAAGGAAACAAACTGAACAAACACGTGGAAATTTACAATACAGTAAATTTACAACGGGTATATTGTCTTGGGTTAAGGACAATTCTTTGATACGAGTTTTTAAGAGCTCACAATATCGCACATTAATATATAAAGCGCTTCAAATGAAAATCCTTCTTCAGGCCGAGACGGTAAATAATTACCGTGTCTTATGTACGCGGAAGAGGCTTTATGTTTTAAACAATAGCTCGAATAATATCGAAAACTGGTTATGTTTTTGAAACTATCTCAATGCGAGATAATAAATTGGCAAATTCCTTGCTCCACACACGATTTATAATATTTTTACTTGTAGATAGTACATGGCGCCATGGTAAGGCTTTGGACTTGCGGCCACAAAGTTTTGAGTTCGAATCACACATTGGGTGCAACAAATAGAAGTGATATCAATTTTCCCTTGGAAAGACATATCCAAATTTTATTTTCAATAAAATACAGCATTTTAGGCTATATAGATGTACGTAAAGATATAATGACAACAAGAAGACAATTGTCTTCTAATAGACATTTATTGTAAAAACAAACTAGTTGGTATTGGTATTTTGCCTGGAGGCAAGTTACATGAACCTTCTTTCTTTCATGAATTGTTATAATTGAACCAGTTTCCGTGAGACTTTAATGGTTTAATATGTTCATTAAGACCAAGTACTTTATCGTTATACTAAGTAACTCGTCTAATTTTAATTTTAACAAACGCCAAAAAAATACTCATGAACTTTGATGAATTTTCAAAATTAAACTACTTGTCGTAAGGCCGTAATATTTCAGTAAGTTCTATAAGACTATGATATATATCGCCGAAAAAAGTTCCATAAAAATCGACAGTTTTTTTTCAACAGTTAATTACAAGAAAACGGCTCGGTAGATTCTCACCTAAAACTAATCAGTATCATTTCCAACTAATATCTTTCGAACAGTTTTTGATTATTTAAAATCGATTCGGTAGTATGAGATTAAATGTGGACGAAAAATTTAACACTTTTTTCTAAATTACAAAAAAAAACGGCTTGGCCAATCTCGCACACAACTGAGAAACGATAATCCTCATTGAGATACAACAAATGGCTTTTGAATTTCTGAAATCGGTTCAGGCGTTTTTGAGCAAACGTCGATGAAAATTCTTATTTTGACAAATACCAAAAAAAAGGATATTAATTTTTGAAAACTTTGAAAAATTTTCAAAATTAAACGAATTGTCGTAGGGCCGTAATATTTTAGTATGATCTAGAAGACTATGGTATCTACCGTCAAGAAAAAAAAAATAAAAATCGTGGAAAAAATTTGTTTTAACACTTTACCAAATTTTTATCAAAAACTAATCAGCCCGACCGATCTTTACGAAAAACTAATCAGCACGATTCCCAACGAATATCTTTCAAACAGTTTTTGAATGTTCAAAATCGATTCAGAATTGCGGGCTAAAACGTGGACAAAAATTTTTTCACTTTTCTGCGATTTACAAAGAAACGGCCCGACCAATCGTCGCACAAGAAAATTGAGAAAACGTCAATTTACGACAAAAAATCTGTTCACACACACACACATACACACATACTTTTTCCTAATCTCATTCGATTCAGAATGGCTTGAAACGTCGAGAAAACAAAATTAGCGAGTCGGATTTTTTGATCAAAACATAAATTTCTCTTTTGGGAAGTTAAAAAATACAACGTGAAATAGCAATTGCAACATTAACAGATTTTTAATCCAAAAATTAATAATGCTTTTCTTCATTCCAGGAGCACCCAAAGTATTATGTTCCGAATCGACGATGCGTGTAGAAATCGAAATGGACGGTGAAAATTTGGGAAAACGATTTTATTTGGATCATTTACAACATTATCCAGATGAAAAGTGCAAACCCCGGAAGGAAGGCAACCTGGCTGTGTTCGAATTGTCCTTGGACGACATCTACCAATGCGGAGTAACTCGCATGGTCAACAAAATATCGGTAATTAGAATTTGATTCAAATTTAGTCAATATAATCGTAATAATAGTATTATATATTAATCCAGTCTACATTTCACTATGTTATCATCATGCAATAAAATAAAACAAGACCAAATTGTTGAAATCAGTCCCTGTTCAGACCGTCGAGCCACATCGGATTTATCAATGTTCAACAATTCATTACCAAATCTTTCAACAATTTGGAAGTAAACATAAACATATTTTAATGTTTTGTAATCAACATATATCATTGCATTTATACTGTATCAAAAAGACGTCTCCATCATAAATTTATTTTATCTTTTCTTGATCTGCAGAGAATTTATACGCATTTCAGTGCAATTTCAATTCGGAGATGAAATTCCAGTTAATAATACGATATGGACTAGTTAACTAATTTTATTGCAAACTCATGCCTCAAGTTACAGTAAGCATCAAAACCTATTTTAGAACAAGTACATCATCGGTTGCGAATATGTGAAATTATGTTAGTCTACTTTATTGCAAACAACCTGGTTTCTTTTGGAAAATAGTCGAAATCGTAATAAAAATACATTTATTTTTTATACAAGTATTCCATAACAATAAAAAGGCGTGGATAATATAAAATTTTAATTATACCTCGTTTAAATATTGTTGAAGTCATTGCAATGTATAATAGTGTGTCATAATTTTTAAAATAATCAAATTTGCATGTTTTTCATTTGTGAAATACCAATCAGAAATTCTTGTGACGATTATTGCTTTTTTCGCAGATAATTTTTATATTAATGGTTAGACGGCAAACCAATAGATGCCCCATTCTCGTTTTGATGTATTTCTTTATTAAATGACTAACGGTCGTTCTTTAATTGTGCTAATATTTCATTTTTTTTTAACAAACGAAACCGAAAAAAATTATGTGCATATAATATATGTATGTGTATATGAATAATAACACGTTGACTGCCTTTCTTTCTTCTTTTCATCATAACGATATCAACTATCCAATCCGGGATCCAATTTAAACTTGGTAAGACGTTTTATGAGATGCTGATTTACAAATAAACTAGTTTTGTCGATTGGGTATTTATTTTGCATTACGTATCGAATTCATTTTTTTTGTTCAATTTTGAGGAAAACAGGAACGACTAAAGCTTTATCTGTCTTAGTGATTTTTTTAAGCTTCTTGTATTAAAAATAATTTTGTGATATTCACAACTACAGTTTTATCTAACGTCTTTGATTTAGAACGAAAAAAAGAGTACAAGCAAAATTACTTACAAGGAGAACCCGCGCGTAATTTGTCTCTGATTTTTATGAAATTTGGCATAATGGTAGATTTTATTCCCAAGCTAACCGTAGTAAATTATTAGAGGCCTATGAACATCGGTTTAATTATAAAAATTAAAGTGATTTGTTAGAATAAATATATTTATATGTTCACAGAAAAGTACATTGATTTTTTAGCAAATTGTTGACAAAAGTAAGTACTTAGAAATTTTTGGCTAGTACATTAATTTTCGAAAATTGATTACAAATTACTCTTCTTCGGACTTATTTTCTATTATTATATTGGCCACGAAGACAGCGATCTTCATGGCACTGAGCTTTTGTACCGGAAAAGGGTAGCACACTAAAACTAAAGCCCACGTGATAACATGAGTTAATAAGTAATAAATATATATATACACAATATTCGATCAAGTAGAACTTAGTGACAAATCAGTGATCAAGAAATCAAGAAATCGAGAATCAGTACTTTATACAGTCTACTGTTACAGAGGTTAAAATAGAACTTAACAATCTGAGTCGTATGTGACGAAATACCAGATCAAGGTTATATACAATGTTATCTCCGTAAAATGTTAAAAAATTCACCCAAGAAATTTAAGTTTTGCATTCGTTAACAAATGTAGCTAATATTTTGGAAAATCCCTTAGAAATTTAAATCAGACATTGGGCTGTTTGTCCTCTGGCCGTCCCATTTTACCCCGTCTATCGGGTAAAAAGTACTGAGTTTTAAAATTTTGAAAAATAGCAAACAAAACATTTCTACAATGATGAATTAGCTGCTTTACTGAACTTACTGAACATAGTCAGATAGTTGTTTAATATGTGTTATTTGAATTGAAGGAGGATCTTTTCATGTGAGACTTGTAATTAGTTTTTTTTAAATTCTATTTTTATATCAGCATACTCGATGAATTTAAGAAACTATATTTTTGATTTTATGAATAATAAATTATCATTAAAACTTATAAAATATGAAAAAGTATAATAACAAATATACGTTTATGAATTTGCAAATGACGAATGGGTGTTAAATATGTGTTATTTTTGTTTTGTATATTACAATTAATGTTTTATATTTGTACATTTCAACAGGGCAAACGTGTCTACTACCACAAGATAATAGTTGAAAGTGAAGACCCTACGACGCCGAAAGAAATAATTAACGTCAAGTGCGCTGGAGAAGCAAAAAATCACACCTTGACTAGACGAAACGTCTTGCCGGCCGGCTTCCAGGAACCAGAGTAAGTACCATGAAATGGGTCTGTGATTAATTAAATTAATTGTGGATTGGACATAAAAACTTTATATATATATATAGTGCTTTATATATATAGTAGACAACAAAACTATATATATATATATATATATATATATATATATATAGTGTAGAGCGGGGCTTATAGGTCTGCAGTTAAAAAGGTCCATCACCGATATCTCAAAAACAAGTAAAATTACGATTTTTTTAAACAATATTTGATAGTAGAAGAAGTATAACCAGCCATCACCTTGATTTTTAAGACGACAATATTTGAAAATACATTACAGAAGTATTTTTTCATTGTTATTTTTTTTGGTCGTGAGCACTATTGTTTAGTTTACGAGACCTTAATATAATTTTTAAGTCTGCGTTATTTACGAGTTTTATAGATAAAATTATTGTTATTTTCAAGTTAGATTCAACAGTTTTTTTATATAACCTCTATATAAGCTTACATATTGGTGGGGTAAAAAGTACCATCTGAGCCTTTATCCTGGCAAAAATGTAAATAAAAAATAGTAAATAAAAAACTAAGTTAAGTTGCACGAAGTAATTTTACAAGAGTTGAGTTAAACAGTTATTCCAACCCCGCTGATGATTATTTCTGACGAAATACCAGATCGAAGTTATATATAATATCATTTCTGTAAAAAATGAAGCAAAGAAATGTATGTTTTGCATTGGTTGAATACTGTAGCTATTATTTTTTAAAATACTTTGAAATTCAAATCTGACATTGGATCTGTTCTCCCCTTGGCTGTCCCATTTTATTCCGACTAGGGGGTAAAAAGACCCAAGTTACAAATTAACAAAAAAAAAAAAACAAAAAAAACATTTGAGTTTTACTGAACATAGCCTTATAGTTGTTTGATTGATGTGTGTTATTTGTTGTGATATTATTGGTTTGGTTTTCACAATACAACTGCTTAAAGTCAAATTGAACCTTTGTGCCCCGCTCTACCCTATATACACCGCACTAAAAAATTAACACTGCCATGTATCACTGTCAGGAATTTCAGAATGTTATGTCTAAAATATCAATGTTATATTATAATGCATTGTGATAAGAATGACCGTTCCTCGAATATATCGAATTCAAAAAAATCTCAAAACAATCATGTATTAATTGTACAATGCATTATATCATATCATCGGTATTTAAAACATATCAATTTATAGTTCCAGAGAATTTTAGTGATGCATGATAGTGTTAATTATGTTTGTAATGTGACTCTAATGAATTGAGACTCTAATGTTTAATGAAATTTCATATCAGTTTTGAACAATTAAACAATATGATATATGGGAGAAATAACTCCCAAAATAAACGCTCCTTAATTTCTTTTGGAATTAATCCAATCCAGTTTTAAAAAGAATTGGATGGATGCTTCAATGAAGAGCATTTATTTATTTTGTTTACTATTATATAAGTTTCACCTTCAGAAATATGGTGGTCTATCGAAAAGTTTTGTCCGTTTGTAAAATAAACAAAATCCTTTTTTTTTCTTTTGCAAATTAACTTCATTGAAAAATATAATTGTCGTTATTATTAACCATCTCATACCAGCGTGTAGACAATTTGTCTATTTCGTCTGTTTCACCTTTAGATGCGAAAAGTTGAACTATCATATTTTGCTATGATATTTGCTATGAAACTATCATGCATTGCTAGTTTCATATCTTCATTTTTGAATATTGTGCACTTCACAAAAATTTTTAAGGACAAAAACAATTTATAATCAGAGGTTATATGTAATCTTTTTAACTCCCAGTTATAATTTAGTTCAAAAAAGGCTCGATTTAGTCCCAGCAAGATGTGCGTATGACATCTGGATCACCCAATTTTTTTTTTACTTATTCATGTAGCACTAATCTTGAATATGTACTTCCAAATCTAATCTATATTTTGAATGTGGTCAGAAATGATTTGTTGAGCTGAATTAAGCCTTTCTACAATCTTCGATGATTGTAGAAACCACAATCGTACCATATTTTGCATTTCCTATGCAGAAACTGTACTTATACCAAAAACTTCCTATTCATTTCAAAATGATTTTGTTGCATTTATTCCTTTCTATTAAAAATTTCTATATCGGTATATTCAAATAAAAAAAATATAATAAAGCAACACATGACAAACAGAAGATTGCGAGAATACTTTTTAAACCTTGAAACGTGCGATAGTTAGGAAGCTTTACAATATTTAAAATTCTGGATCAAATTTTAGAAACGTACAAAACTTAATTTTAGTACCCGAAAAACCGAAACAAAATTATTGATTCATATTATTAGAACAATCATTGAAAATGATACGTATGAAAATATTTGCCAAGTAGTCAATTGGGTAAATAATTCTAAATGAATTCATCCAAAAACCAAAAACGCACTTTTTTTTTCTCTCTTCTCATTTTTTACAATGATCCTCTCGTAACTAGAAAAATAAATAGTTACATAATAGCGAAATAGATTACTTTTGACAAATAATATTAGTTTATCTTTGATTGCTTGTTCATAACTTATTTCTCGTCACTGCAATAAAATCCACCTGACCTGAACTTAAGAACTAACATTATGAACACATTGCAATTTCATCATACTGGGTCAATTGGCAACTCTACAAAATGATATATAACATAATTTTCTCAAATTGTGGGTCAGGTCATGGTATAAATTCTGGAAAATTTTGTTATTTGGAAGCAAATTTTTCGAGAGCAAAAATAGTAAATAAGAATCATCCACACATTACATTGAAGCGTAATAATAATCATATCATCTGTAATATGTATGGTAATAAAATTCCCTGCAGCTACTGTAGTTTTCAAGTGTAGTTACTATTTTTAAAATCTAGCTCTAAAAAATTTAGACATCTTTTTAATGGCAATTAGAACTTCTCAGAACTACTTGTTCTATAAGCTTTTTTTATGTAACTCATCTAAAATTTGATGAGAAGGCAACCCAGATGTAACCATTTTTTTTTCCTGTGGCGGTACATATAATAGTTATGTGCATATGTTGCAGCAATGCTCTCGAAAGGCTATTTAGCTACTTGAGATTATATTTGAGATCTATAATAACAAGAGAAAATCTTATATCATATTGCTTGATAACGAGCTGACCGTTGGGATTGAACTCGGGACTTGGGATTGCTAGACCACGTCTTTTACCGCAACACCATAACTACTAAATATTCTGCATTTTTTTTATAATTTAAGCTGCAAACAAGTGGTGCATGGTATCGTTCCTCAAGACAAATTGCTGGAACTTCCCGTACCAAAAATTAAAATTTTTAAAAAAGATTCAATTTTTTGTTTAGAACTGTGAAAAAAATGATTTTTGAGAATAATAAAATTTTTTAAAAATTATACTTTTTTAAGAAATTTTGAACTTATTTTCAAGGCAATCGCGATACGTCAGCTGCGTAGAAATAAAATATCAAAGCGCGTAAACGCCGCGTCATTATGTTTATCACCAACATTGGTATGGAACCCATAAAAATGTTAAAGTTTATTCTCATTATTAATATATATATAATATATCTGATAATTTGATGTGCATATGTCTAATGATCATTTTTGTCCGCCAAATGGCGTTTTTTTTTACTTTTTTTTATTGTATCTCCGAAATCGTTGGACCTGCATTCCAAAAAATTATCAGATCTTCATTTTGTCAAAACAAATAAAATGTTTTTTAACTAATTCAAATCGGACGCTCCGTTCTCTCAAAAATTGAACTACAATTTTTGGCATTTTTTGCACTGCATCTGCCTTGTTCAAAAACTAAAAAGTCTCCTCATCAATAAAATTCAAATGTTTTTTGAATCATTCAAATCGGTTGATTCGTGTTCTCGAAATCGTCGACGAAAGTTTGTATCCGCACATACATAGACGCACACATACATCCATTTTTTAAGGTATGCTAAAATTTTCAGAGACCTTTAAAACTTTCAGATATATAAAAGTTGTAATTTTCGTTTCTTTGCGATTCCCTACGGGAAGTTAAAAATAAGGACATTTGGCAATTTTTTCTCAGAATGACTGGTAGTCGGATTCGGTCATCGCAATTTCATTTTTTATGTATATACAATTGCCACTGATTTATGATAACTTGATGGAACGTATGAGCCATTAATCATGCGATTATGCAATAATACTTATGTACAAATGTTATTGCAACTTTAATAGATCATAAATATATTGTATTACCTCTTTTAAATGTCATACTATAACAGATTGCAGAATTGCTTGTTAAATGCGAAATATGTTCATGATATAATAATTTCCTTTTGTGAGACGCAAATGTAATAATAAATTAGTATTGAAATAATTGTGAAGTAAGGCGTGCGAGTAACAATAACAAGAAGGCGTGTAATACAATGCAATTGGAATAAAATGCATTTTCCGAAGAAACGACGTATTGTAAGCTATCTCGTTTCGACAGACTTCGATGCTGAAAATCTCAAGAAAATTCGTGAGAAAATATATGCAATTGCGTGCTTTTAATATTGTATTGTTCAATGCACAGGTGTGGCGACACGTTTTTAGACTTTGGGGCCACATCATAAATCACCTTCTATATTTGAATTAACTAATAATTTGATTTAGATTATTTGAAGCCTTAAGATAAAAGTGGTATCAAAATAGTAGTAGTATCAAGAAAGTAGAAAAAGAAAAAAAAGAAGAAAAAAGAAGAAATATTAAATTTTCAATCTCGAATACACTGTATAATTATTTTCCCAAAAATGTGTCATTTATGTGAGTAATTTTTTGGGTAACAATAATCTTTCGGCACTTCATTCATTCATTCATTCATTCACATAAATTGATAACTGATATAGCTTTCCATACTAAAATAAATAGTATCGATTGTATATATCAGTAGATTGTAATATTCGTAGAATAATTCCTACTATTCTGTCAAAAAATTAATTTTATTTTTACTCCCTTTACTCTGAATCCATTTTTTATTCCTAAATTAGACTATATGTAACTACAACTAGTATGTGGTAAACGTAAATTGTTTTTACTCCGATATTTTTTTGAAGTGGAGCTTTTCAAAAATGAATTTAAGCATCCAATAAAAAAATTCGATTAGATATTAAAATAGAAAAATACAATAAGTTCAAATGGCGGAAATAAGAGTTATTTAATTATACAATTTCAAAACGTTGATGATAAATCAAATTGTTCATTTTTATTATGTTTTTTTATATATCTATATAGGGTAAAGTGGGATCCAATTTGACGTCGAGCAATTATATTGTGAAAACTAAACTAATTATATCACGACATATCAAACAAACAACTATCTAACTCTGGTAATTCGCCATTGTAGAAATGTCTTTTTTGTGTTTTTCAAAAATTTGTCGCCTGTTTTTTTTCACCCCATAGGCGGGGTAAACGGCCAGAAGACAAACATTCCCAATGTTTTTTTTTTAATTTTAAAAGGATTTAAAAAATAATAGCTACATTTCAATCAAAGCAAAATATAGATTTCATCGGTACATTTTTTACAAAGATAACACTGTATATAACCTTGATCTGGTACTTCACCAGAATATTAATCAGCAGAGTTGGAATAACTATTTATTTAATTTGTTTCATATAAAATTGCTTTTTTTCAACTTAGATTTTGTACTATTTTTTATAGTTTACATCTTTACCAGAGTAAAGATTCAGTTGGTCTTTTTTACCTTACACACGTGTAAGTTTTTATAGAAGATATATATAAAAAACTGTTGGATCGAACTTAAACATAGTAACACATCTTATAAAATAATTTTAAATAACGTATACTTGAAAATTATATTCAAGCATCAAGAACTAAACAATAGTGCTCAAAACTGAAAAAAAAACCCTCTACTCTACTTTAAAATAGTATGAATCAATAACAAATTTAAGGCTTTACTTGGTTTTGAAATAATTTTTGATTTTCGACGTTTCCGGAATTTTATATGATTTTTTATTGTATATTTTTAAGGATTTTTGGGTAGTACTGTTCAAAATTGATAAACACAGAGATAATACTGATGTAAATAACCTTGAACTGGTATTTTGTCAGAAATATTCATCAGCAGAGTTGAAAAAACAATTTAACTTATCTTTTTTAAAGTTGTTTTCCACCTAAATTTACTTTTTTATTTACTCTTTTTCTATTGTTTACACCTATGCCAGAATAAAGATTCCGTTGCTCGTTTTTACCCCAAACACATGTAAACATTTATAGAGATTATATAAAAAAAACGGTTGAATCTAACTTAACAATAAATAATATATACCTAAAACTTATATTAAGGTTTCGTAAACTAAACAATAGTGCTCAGAACCAAAAAAACTGACAACGAAATAAAATACTTTTGTTATGAATTTTCAAACATTTTCTATAGCAACGTGGTCAGAATCAAGGTGATTATACATCTCTCAATGAGAAGTCTCAAATTGCTATACGGCTTAATGGATTTGTTGTTTATCGCTTAACAAAAGTGTTAATACTATTTTTTGGTAATAAGTAAAATTTAAAAGCTACAGCTGTTTAAATGCAAAAAGTCAAGTATGCTCAATGTACCCCATAAGTGGGGCAAGTTGAGCACTAAGGAAATATATTGAAATCATAGATTCAATGCCAATTAGTGATGAAATAAAATAAGTTTTTAATAACCAGTTCTATATTTATAGTCTTTATTGACAGAGAAAACAAAACTTATAACTTTGAATAATTAACGAAAAGTAGAATCAACAAAACAATATCGTACCTTAGGAACTACTTTACCATTATATTCAGTATTTTTGTTTGAAATCATTATTTCTTTATATTATTACTCATAGACTTAGCTCAAATCTTAAAAATAATAATTAATTTCTAAAAGTTAATGGTAATTGTATCAGTGACAGAACAAGTTTAGCAACTATGCTCAACTAACCCCAACTCGGAATTTCAAAATAAAAGTGAATTTATAAAAAAACCGTGAGAATTATACCCAGAATCTCTGTGCATATTAAATGTACTATAATTATATGGAAGAATAACAATTACCTGATTAAAAATAAATAACATTTGACTGAATCAGACGAAAACTCGTGATGAATTACTTTTCTACTTTTTGGTCCCAAAATAAACAAAACGCCCGTGAGCCTCACTCATTTGTCTAGCGGCCACTGGCGATCGCGAGATGTTTATTTCTTCCAAACCTCGATCTTTTCTCGCCATATAATGCCTAAACGAACGGCAAATAGGTATAGGTCGACATATTTCGATTGTTCAACTTGCCCCTATGCTCAACTAGCCCCGCTTTACCCTACCCTATCACACGAATAACAAAGTAACAAAATTGTGAGTTAATTACTTCTTCATCTCTTATTAGGCAAGTCAAAGAAGTTTAATTCCGACCAACCCAATAAATCCCTGATTTAAATATTCCCATCCCAAGTGCATGTTCTATCGACACCATCAACGTCGTGTCCCACTTATCAGATGGCTAGACAAGTAGGGCCATCTGTAAAGTGGAGACGATTCTCGCGAAAGTTCGCACTACTATCAGGTTTGACACCAATGCGTTCCACCTCGGAACAAAGACTTCGCACTAAAAGAGCAAAAGGAAATATAATTTCGTTCGGCCTACTTACATTGTGATCTAGATATTACAAACTGCAACTGCAATTGCATTGAAATGCGAGTTAACATTTTTATAACGCATCGCAGTTTCGAAAACTGATTCGCTTCTACTTTAATAACTCATGAATCATCTCTAGAAATGCAGTAAAACTGCATTCCAACATTTGTGGGATTAATATGGAAATGCTTATGGTTTTATGCAACTTGAATTACTATTTTTGACTCTGATTTATAATGGATATTTTATTTTTAAGCCGCCAGGTTTTAGTTTACATTGTACGGTATGGTAAATTAAGTACTTGTCATAACTGTCGTAATTTAAATATATTTGACCCTAATTTCAAATTGATAATTATTTGATCATAAATTTGAATTAAGGAATTTGGGAAAATATTTTAGCTAATGCAACATTTGTCTGAACAGATATATATTTCAATAATTATGCATAAAATAGTGAACATCTAAAATACATAGACTATTACAAAACAATTTCTTCTAATGATTGACTGTGTTCTCGTAGATATATTTTTGATCAGTACATATGATCCAGAAGCAATATAACGAGACAGCTTAGCTTAATGTAATTCGATTATAACCTCATTATTTAAAATATAGAGCTAATCATGGCTCTATTTCATAAATGATGTCTTTACTGATCCAAAAACGTTGGTTAGCTAAGACCGGTCCCGTGTTCAAAACCCATCTAGGCCAGCTTGAGATCAAGCAATATTTAATCAGATGTTGTCTTGATATTATAGATCTACAATAATTAAAAACGGGCTTTCGGTGGCATTGGTGCAAATTGGTGATGATATATAACATCAGTATTAGATAAAATATATAATAAAATCTCATCACAATGAGAATAGTCAACCACCGGTTGCATTTTTATAACAGTAAATTCAGGAATTACATTACAACATTGTAACATACTTGTTAATTTTATTATTGAAAATTTTTAAGTAAAAATCTAAAAATTTGAGCATAAACCAATAAGGCAATCGCATTTCGCTCACATTCAGTTCAAATATTTCGCTCTCGCACATTTACGCTTAAATCATTTTTACTTTGTGAGTAAAATGCACTAGCAAAAATCTTGTTAGGTTTTTATTTTTTCACTCATTTCTTTTGAGCAATAAAATTATCTAATATTCTAATGTGTCACAATCGTGATTAAGGGCGCCAACCGTTGTCAACACATTTTAGTAATTTTTTTAAGGAGGGTCTTCTCTCAAAGTCGACCGATTTTAAAGATTGTAAATTCATATTTCAACAACAAGTCGTGATTCTTGAAAATTCTGGTTAATTGTGTTATTATTTTCTACTGTAGTCCTAAAAATGTCATTCAGGATTACGGTTCCAAAGTTTAAATGACCAAAATTAATAAAAATTAATTACAATAACCGAAAAACGGTCATAATTTTACCAAAGCTCTAGGTTGCACGTGAAAGCTCATAATGTCCTCATATTTTTCGTTCTAATTTTCAGGACAGTGAAGGTCACTACTATCGTCCAGTTTTAAAATGTATATAAATCACCACGTTTCAACTTCACGTTAAGATCTGGAACACGTTATTTATTTAATTAACTTAATGTTATTATATACAAATAACAATTTTATTTCTGTAAGACAGATATCAAATTAAACGGCTTAATAATCGACTCAATGAAGTAAAATTTTTCGACGATTTTTTTCCTATCTTTCTCAAATAGACTCAAATGTTCAGTTGATCCGGTTGAAAATTCACAATTACCTAATTTTGACGATATTAGTCCCAACCTTTTAAAACATACGAGGAAGTTGCCATGGTTAAAAGCTCAAGATGGTTAATAATATCAAATTTAACATGATAACATACACTACTCAAATACAAATATGTATGTAAAAACAAAAATGATACAATTTCAACGCAGAATGTTATATAGAGTAATATAAAGTATAAAATCAATTCGTTAAAAAATCAATTTATACTGTCGAATAGAATAGGATATGAAATAAAAGTAATGTATTCGGCTGAAGTGCTGCAGCTAATCATCTGGAGCACTTCTTCAATATAATACAATTTAATAGAAGGGGCTAAAGATCTACTAATTAAGGGCCCTAAAAAGACAATTCTTTGTTATTTATATTTATCTCATGATTTTTTCAGAGATTTGGAAATTACAAACAGTTTCGTGAAAGACGCACCAGAACCTATCCTCGGTGTGGGCGTTCGGCAGGCTGGTCGTTTGGTGACCGGAGAATTGAACGTCAGTCCAGGTACTCCTCTACAAATGGAAATCTTTTTGGACAACGGATCTGCTCCGGTTTACGGAATTTTAGCCACTTACATGCAAGTAACGGATACCAAATCGCAGGAAGAAACTATTATCTTTAACGGGTAAGTTTAAAAATTATAATTTAATTCATAATTGTATTGAAAATGCTCGAATCTAGAAAAATGTTAAAAAATGTCAAAAAAAATTGAGTAGCAAATTTGCTAGATCAACATAAGTTAAAAGATGAAATATAGTTGTTGTATGTTATATAAATCAACTATTTGTCCATTGAAAATTCAACTGTCTTCTGGACGTTAATTGATAATTCAATAATTAATGTAAATTTTTTAAATAGTACTAAATTGTGGTGATTATGATAATTTTCCAAAAAAATCGTAAAAGTATACACAGTCTTACACTATAGAGAAATAGTACAAATCATCAAATATTTAGCACCCATGTATTATTTTGATGATTTTGTAATTAATTATTAATTTTTAATTTCGGTTTATAAAAACTGATAATATCATAGATATTACCAAATAGCTTTACATATTGTTCACTCATTGAAAACGGACAGTTTTAGTATTTTAATGCATACATATTGTTCACTTATTGAAAAGGGACAGTTTTAGTATTTTAATGCATTTTTTCAAATTGCAATATAGATTAAAACCGATTTAAGGTTTTACTGATTATTGTTATTAAATATCGATAAAAACCATAAAGTGTCGATTATAATAAAAATTTGCGTTCTTTGTTTTCAAAAATATCGTTGTAGCAAAATTAAATATAGAAAATTTGCATTAATTTTTTGTTTGCACAACCAATACGTAGCTTTTCATTAGCATTCTTGTAAAACATTTGATTTATTTTATATAATAATGTATACAACATTCTTATATAGCAAGAATGATTTTACTATATTAATACATTGAGTAAAATTTTCAAAATTTACGACAATGTACGGTACTTGTAATATCAAAAAAACGAAACGAGTAATACAATTTTAAATATATAACTAATATAATTCTGCGTAAATAATTTAAGTAATCTTTTAATTTGGGCTGTTGATACGTTATTGCAAAAACATAAAAATATGATTGTATATAAATTATGTACTTGAGTAATATTGAAATTTGAGCTGTTAAACCGCTAATATTAAAATGTGTAACAATAAATATAATTACACAGAAATATTAAAACATATAACAAGAAATATTATTGTAAAGAAATAATTTGAACAAAATTTAAATTTGAACTGCAGATACAATAAAATTGCAAATTATCAGGAAATGTGATTACACATAAATCATTGAACTAATTTTTAAATTTGAACTGTAAGTTCGATAATATTGAAAAATATAAAACAAATTAAGATTATACAAATAATTGTAGTTAAATGTGTATTTAAACTGTAGTTACTGTAATACTGAAACATATACTAAAAAATTTAATACTGCATTGATAATTTGAGTAATCTTAAATTTGAACTGTTGATAAAATGTTATTTAAAAAATTTCAAATGACAATTGGCAATCTATCTCTATATTCTGGTGTACCAGAATTTGCCTTGATAAAGCTCTTTATTTCATAGGACTTATATCCCATAAAAGGTAAATATGTAAAAACATATATTATTTCAGATGTTCAGTAGATCCATATTTGTTCGAGAATTTCAATACAGTAGATGGTGATTTCTTATCCGCCAAATTCCGGGCGTTCAAATTTCCGGATTCGACGTACGTTCAATTCAGAGGCACAGTCAACGTGTGTTTGGACAAATGCACTGGCGTAAGTACAAAGGATATTGGAAATATTGTGATAAAACTCGATGCATGTGAAACTCATTTCATTTTCAATAATATAACAGATTCATAATAATACATACAATATATAGAAAATATTTTGTAAGCATGTATATAAGCCGTGATAAAAGTGCTCGTCAAACATTTTGGCAATTTACTTTCTAATATGTATATTATCAAGAGATAAGAATGTAAAGTACTCGACAGTTTTTTTTTAATTTTTTATATACCTCACTGACTATTTAGCCATTTACATTATTTTTATATCCTACTGCTATTTCACAGCACAGCAGTACTAGCTATTTCCATTTGAAAAATAGAATTCAATTTGAAAGCACATTTTTTTATCTATACTGATATAAATACTGCCACTGAGTGTTTAGATAAATCATTCTCATTGTAATAATTATAATCAATCGGTTTTTAGGATATCAAATTTTTTAACAATTTAATCGAATTTATTATCCCAGGTGGAATGCAGCAACGGTCAAATCGGATATGGTCGTAGGCGCAGAGATATTCGATCGCCATCTAACAACAAGGTCTACGAAATTTCGATGACTACATTCATCAAAGTGAACTATGACGATAATTCTATCATCGATAAAGGTAATATCAGAATTTACGATTAAAAAATTAAAATATCTAATATATCTTACTCCACTCGGTAATGTGAAAAAATTTACCGCACTACTGAAAGAAATGCGTAAATCAGAATAGTCGCAAAAACTTAATCTAATTATTTACTGTTTAAGAGTAGGGGGAAGTCCCCAAGTGGCGGACACCTAAGGTTATTTATAAATAAATCAAAAAATACTTTACGAAATGTTTAATAAATTATGATTTATGTTAGATAAAGTTAGAAATAAAAGTAAATTATCAAAACCGCAATCTTTGCTCAAAAATAATTAATACTATCAATCAAACTTTACTATCAAAAAATATAATTTTAAACAGTGGTACCTAGTACCGGACATTTCAAAATAACCTGCATTGATCACATATGTAGCCATCTCCACGCTCTGGAATGTCTGCTCATGTGTTTTTGACGAATATTCTTAGATATTGCAAAAAAGTCACTATTCATCCACTCTTTTGGCTGGGCTACACCGATGCTCTCAGCTGGTGCATTCATAAGCTTTTTATTCTTTGACTAGGAAATACGAAAAATATGGGTATGTAGTGATCGTTAGCGCTCATACAGAATAAAATTAAATTATTGGAATAAATTACGTAAATTCTCACAAGAAATATCAATATGTATACTGTCCCGCACTAAGGGGCGACTTAGTGTCCGGTGCTAAAGGACAAACATTTTCGTTCATTTGATGGCACCTACTAAAATTGGTTAAAAGATCTAATGATATTCTAGCATTTTACGGATAACAATCAAGTACAACTTTTATCTTTGCATACCACTCAAATGTAAATGCATAAATATGCTAGAATTACTTCCATTGATATTTAGGTGACGCCGTGATTTTGCGCCTAAAATCAGAAAGGGTTGCTCTCGCCGTGGCCGTGTGCGTCAGGCGAGACTTGGCTCGTGATCCTGTACCTGTGTACCCCCCATGCCCCCTTCACTTGTATTTTGAAATGAAAAGATTTATACTCGCTTAAATAATACGTGTTAAATAGAGTGTCCGGTGCTTGGTGCCGTCCGGCGTTACGGGACTTCCCCCCTTCATTCTAGTCTAAAAGTTTTTAGAATAGAATTATTCTATAAATTTCGAAGATTAATTATTCAATAATATATGTACAAGAGGATTTTCCAAAATTTAAATCATTTTCAGAAATACAGCTTTCTGACCTCGAAATTCCTCCCACGTTTTGTTCCTTCGCAAAACTTCAAACGCTTTTTTCTCGTATACTTGATGTTATGCCCTTCAAAATTTTCTTCCGGTAATGTAAAATTAACTATTTTTAATATACCAATACGTTATCTATTTTCTCATTTGCAGAAAACTTATCAGAATTGGAAAACCAGATTAAGAGACTCAAGATAACCAACCAGAAATTGGCCCGCAACAGCCGTGCCGAAGGTTACTTTGTCCATGAAGATCAGGAAGAAGACGAGGAGATGGATTCTCGCGAGGCAGAAAGAGCAACAGTTGAAGAAACCTCATCCAGACGATCCTCCGAAGAAGATTCTATGGAAAGTGCCGGTGCATTTCTTACTTATGCATCTTACTTGTCAATTCTCACTGCTTACATAATTCTTAACAGATTAGTATGATGATTTATAAAATATTATCCGTGCATTAGGCAGATTTAAGATCTTTCTCATAAAATAATAAGTTGAATCACGAAATGTTAGTTTCTTCACAACGGCAAATTTTTGGCAATTTAATTTAGACAATATAAAAAAATAAAAGTGATTACACATTATTGATAATTTTATGTGAAAGTAACTAATTTCTCTAATGTGCGGAAAATAAGAACCACGTGTAATATTATCCTATATGAAATTTTATGAAAAAATGTCGTATCGCCAACAGAATATAAAATGCTTATGAAAGTCCACACTATAGAATACGCATAAGAAATTATATAAAAAAAAATATTTTAATGCATTAACCTATTTTATTATTCTAATTTCATGAAACAGAAGACTTGAAATTTTATTATTTTAAATAATGTTCACCAGTATAACAGGAATTATTATAAGTTTATTACATAGGTAGGGCAACCGTTTGGGTTGCCATCAAACTGTGCTGTTTTAGAAATATTTTTTTCATTTTTTTTATTTTTTTTTTCTCATAGGATTTAAATTCATAAATCCTATAAGCCAATCCATTTCATTAACAATTTTTTTTCAACATTTATATAAGTTGTACTATTACTTTGCTGCCTAACTTATGCGTATTCTTTATTGAGGTTTTCAGTAAATCTACGTACTTTCACTAAATTGGAAAACATGAAAGTAAAATATTAAGCGAGTTTTGTAAAAATCTAGAATTAAAATTTTTCTAATGTAATTTAGTAATAAGTATAAACATGAAAAGAAACTAAAAAATGCCCCTTAATTTTAGGAATTATAAAATGTAATTAATGTGATTGAATAATTTTTATATAAAAAAGCTAACTGAATAACTGTAGTAGATATTATTAGAACTTTAAGATGTCAATCACTCGAAATTATGATGCAAATGTATGTAACAATAAGAATGATATCCGACGTTTTGTTTTCTAAAAATTTGCATCATGATTTTAACATTTGACGTAAGTGATAAAAAATTCCTAATTATTACATGACTAATTAGAAAAGAGAATTACTCAAACATTGCTTTTTCCCATAGGCAAAATATTTTCATTCAATTTTTTTTAATGGAACAGATGTTTAATCATTTCTAGTCGATAAACGATAAACGAAATATTTTCAAATAATTTTGTTAATTCCATTAAGAAAAGAACCAATATAAATTGCAATTCAAATATGTATTTTGTAATTCAGACATTTTCATTAAAATATCTACTATAAAGGTATTAGGTAGGAATTGTACCGCAATGGAGTACAATGAGCTACCCATGATAGTAGTGCCAAATTCTGAAAATAAATGAGTTTCACATAAAATAAACCGTGTTTTTTATTGTAGCTTGATTTAACCTTATATCTTAAATGATGCCAAAGGTAAAAAATATTACAATATTTTTTTAATGTACCATTATTTACAGAATCAAGAAATATATAATGTACAGAAAGTTACCCAACGCATTAATAAGTTGTATTTGAGAAATAAATTGAATCTTAAATCTCATGTTTTATTTCAAGTAATTATTCATCAGTAAATGGAGGAACAAAATTTTGCAATTATTAGAATGTAAATAAATAAAGATGTAGTAGGTGGCTAAATGCTCAAAAAAAAATGCAAACCAACTCAGAACTAGCGTTTTGTCTACACGTCGACATGTACTTTATATTGAAAAAATCTGAAGTATTAAATAATGAAATACTGGATTTTTTAAAAAGAAATTTTGGTTAACCAACATCAAAATCATTTGATATTTTTATTTTCTGGTATGTATAAAAAAACCTGCTTGACTATGTGGCATTTACAAAAAGACCTTTTGGATTTTATAATCTTTTCCATAAAATATGCAAAATATCAAATAGTAAAAATAAACATTATTTCAAAATGACTTTTTATTGGTGTTTTTATTTAAAATACTAACCAAAACCAAATAAAATGGCATTTACAAAAAGACCTTTTGGCTTTTATAATCTTTTTCATAAAATATGTAAAATATTGAATAGTAAAAATGAATATTATTTCAAAATGACTTTTTATTGGTCTTTTTATTTATAAGAATAACCAAAACCAAATAAAAGGTATTGCACTTACTTTATATCTAATCTGTTCCATAAAAAATCTAAAATATTAAATAATGAAATACTGAATTTTTTGAAAGAAAAGCTAGTTAACCAGAATCATAATCAGTTGAATTTTATAAATTAATTTCTCATTTCATGCACTTTTATTTTCTGGTATGTATAAAAAAAATCTGCTTGAATATGTTGCATTTACACAAAGACCTTTTAGCTTTTATAATCTCTTCGATAAAATATGTAAAGCATTAAACATCATATTAAACAAATATGTAAATATTTAACATTATTATAAAATGACTTCTTATTGGTTTCTTTATTTAAAAGACCAACGAAAACCAACTAAATATAATGATAAATTATGTATTGCACATAATTTTTCAAGTCAAATCTTTTTCATAAATAATCTGAAATATTGAATAATGAAATATTGTTTTTTTTTTCAAAAAAAAAATCTTGTTGACCATCATCATAATCAGTTGTATTTGATAAATTAATATCTCATTTCATGTATTCTTATTTTCTGATATACATAAAAAAATCTGCTTGAATATGTTGCATTTATACAAAGACCTTTCAGTTTTTATTATTTTTTCCATAGAATATGTAAAATATTGAATAGTAAAAATGAACATTATTACACATTGGCTATTTATTGAATCCTCTACTTAAAAGACCATCTAAAACCAACTAAAAGCTATTGCACAAGATAAATTAGTTTAATACATGTTTGCTATATTATATTATGCTTGTAAGATATTGGTTCCAAAATAACAATTTAACTAATTTTAAAGAGTAACACTTTTTGATCAGCTTTTTCAAATACTTTTTAATTCAGTTTGTGCTAAACTTGAAGTACAGTTTTAAGTATAGTATAATTATATACTTGGTTATAAAAATAAATCTTTATTTATTTAATTTTACAATATACCTCATATAGGTAACAATTGATTATATAACAGGTACGTTCTTGTGACGACTTGAATGCGGTAGTATGCAGTCGTATGCAGTCGTGTGCAGTCGTGTGCAGTCGTGTGCAGTCGTGTGCAGTCGTGTGCAGTCGTCTGCGTACGGCATGGATCCCGTAACTGTATTTTATACCATTGAATTATCGAAATAAAATAAGATTCCAAAATTTATTTGTATTTTTAATCCTATGGGTTCAAGTTTAGAATTAGACATGTATTGCATATTTTTCGAAAATTAGATTATTTTTTAATTTCCCGTAGGCTAAGATATAGTAATCGCAGAAAAGTCGAAAATGAAAATTTGTATATATCTTTACGTTTGAAAGGTTTCTGAACATTATATCATACCATAGAAAAAATCGATGAATGTATGTGTGTGTGTGGGTGAATACAATTTTTTGTCGACGATTTCGTGAATACGAATCAACCGATTTGGATGATTCAAAAAACATTTGATTCCTATTAATAAGGAGACGTGTTGATTAATTTTAGGACAACGCAGGTCCAGCCGTTTCGAAGATACGAGGTAAAAATTTCCAAATTCAGTTTTTGAGAGAACGAAGCGTCCGATTTCAATAATTCAAAAAAAAAAAACATTTTACAAAATTGCATCGACAAAATTAAAAAATGACTGAATTTTTGGAAAGACAGGTCTAGCGGTTTTGGAGATCAAGTTTTAGAGCTTTAAAATTATTAAAAAATTTCAGGGATTTTTTAAAAAATTTAATTTGTATTCAAATACTATTTTAAATATTTATATTTAAAAACAATAACGGTGCAAAACAAGCATTTACTAAAATATTAATAACAATTTTAAATATTTACTATAAATGTCACAGTTTTGAACATAAAATTCGCGGAAATTCGTGCTGAAAATTTTAAACTAAATATTGCGTAATTAAAAACTATAATATTTTGCGCGAGATTTTACATTTAATTATTGATAGCATAAACAATATATACACCTGCATACGTACACACACACATATATATATATATATATATATATATATATATATATGCAAAGATGGAAATTTTAATTAATGACAGTGTTAATTAAAATGTATTTAAAATTATATCAATTCATATAACCTGTTCAATTAGTACATAATACTTTATTACAGAATTGAATTGACACATAAAAACATGATATAAACTAGTGGTGCAAAGCATCATGCTCAAAAGCAAATTGCTAGAACATCCAGTACCGTAATTTAAAACTTCGAAAACAGATTTTTTGAAAATTTTGTTTTTTTCTAAACATTTTAACATTTTATTTTTTTATATATTTTTTTTTAATTAAATACTTTTTTGAAAACTTTGAAACCCATTAAAGTCGGTTGATTTATGGTGTCAAAAATTACGAGAATTTTGTTTGATCTATGTAAGTAAACCATGAAGATTATAAATCTGTGTACTAAATGTATGTAAAATTTGGTAATACGTATGTCTAATGATAATTTTCGACTGCCAAAAGACATTTTTTGAAGATTTTTTAAGATTAAATTTAGTACATTAATAAAAGGTGAACCACTGGGTTTTTCTTTTAAAATTTTATGTTATTTGTCAAACTAATTACTCAAAGTCTTTCTATTTAGACAGATTGTAATTTTATATATATATATATATATATATATATATATATATATATATACCTTTCAAATGTCCTTAATATGGACATTTTCGAATTTCCTTGCCCCCAAGGGCTCGAATGGTTCCAAATTGATAAAAAACAATTCTCTGAAAGTTTTAGCTCTTAATATTAACATTTAGATAGTGCGCAATTCAATCAAACTTTGTATGGAAAAGATTTTGAAAATTAAAAAAAAAAATTTTAGGTATAACTTAGCGACAAATTTTGATTAAAACTCATTCATTTGTTCGCTAAATTATATCTAAAAACATTTTTAAAAATTTGAAATTTTTTTACGCTATTTCCAT